ATCTATACCTGATTTTGATCTAACTTACTCGATAAGACTCCGTTTCTGTACGCAACCTCCTTCTCCTCTACTTGTTGTTTTACCATCCCGGTTGAGATGCACCGACATCTAACTGGACATGAGTCGTGTAATCTTTCAATAGTGGCTGTTCCCTTCTTCCATCTCATCAGAGCTATATTCTTCACAGTGCATACACTTCAGCGGATGAATATTCAGCACAAGAACAGAACTAATTTCTATCCTAACTGGACGAAAATAGTATAGCAGAGTTTCGGAACAAAAAAAATAATTATAAAATTAACCTTTAGAAACCATAATGGGACAGTAAATAATCTGTTGATTAGATCGGCTAAAGATGGTCCAGCATTGGTAGGAAATCTGGTTAATTAAGGAACAATAATAACAACAACAACAACAGAACACTTTAAAGCCCCAGCACATGCGAGTTGATGCCTTTGAACCACATCGGATGGACGAGGAAGAAAGCTGTCTACTAAAATTAAAGTGTGGAGAATTTAACTGGGGAGAATTCAACTAGGCTTAAAGTGCTGAGCTGCATCGACCTGTGTTTACAAGAGACAAGACCACATAGGAAAACGAAATGGATGAAACCAAAAATGATTTTAAGGTATTAAAAGAAAATTAAAGGGGAAATCAACAGGATACGTGGAAAACCGGTAAGCGAAAAAAGAAGATAAATGTGTTTCGATGATCGAGTCGGACAACGATACACACTAGCGAAACATGCAAACATACATACATGCTGATCGTGTGCTACCGTCTTAAATCACCGATTGCTTGCTCTGCACACACCGCACACCGGCAGGTTCTCGTCTCTCAGAGAAGAAATATGACTCTCACATTCATCGTGTACTAGCAACCACCAGCATGGTATTGAACTCATAGTATTATGACTGCCACGATCAAAAATATTTCATGAGATGAAATCACTTGATGACGCGGATATTTTGATATTTATGATCCAATCCTCCTGATGAAATACTCAACCATTAGGTTACCTCACGTGATGACATTCGAAACCAAATAACACATGATTTATACTTGACTTTATCATCAGAAAATAGTCTCTTCTCCCCGATTTAGATCCATCGTTGCTATAGAATAGTATTTCATACCAGACTTGTAAGTAAGAATCAGTTCTTTATATTTCATCTCTAATTTCCTCAAATTAACCCATTGGGTCTAGGTTCGCATAACCGATGGAAACAAATCCTAATTGATGTTATCACCAAATGTGGTAGACAACCTAGGGCTTCCGAGACAGACATTGAACTGGCAGCCTATCAATATATATATATATAGATATATATATATATAGATAGATAGATAGATAGATAGATAGATAGATAGATAGATAGTGTTCCTGGTGTGATTCTAAAGTAACGTCTACGAACCATATTTCTTCCAGCCATACACGGAACGATCAGACTCTTGTCTGCTTTTATTTTGCCCTCATTCTTCTCTTTTTCCACACCAAGATTATCTCCGCTTCTCATAGATACCGCAAACATTTCTATCTGTATCTGGTTCGTGATGAACCAGTCACTTTGGTTGGTTCCGGTCGACTGGCGTAAATATCCACCGGGCAGGATAAGTGATGACAGGTAGAGGTGATTACTTCGTCAGCGACAACACATCAAGACACTGATTTATCTGAAATAAGACAATGATGATGACCTTTCTCGAGGGGGGGGGATGACAAAGCCGGATTTGACATCTTGCACCGACCCGCTTATCGGATGTCCATTTCAGCCTTCACCAGTTCGTGAAACCAAAAGAGACTACAGGTAATCAAAACAGTCTGTCGAATAAACCCGAAAGCTCACAGTAACTGATGTTCGGAGCGTAAAGAACTTGGTTTTTGCGCGGGGTACGAGAGTATTAAAAGGAATATATTTATCGCGTAAAGTGAAACTGTCGTTTTCAACTGAGAATCACCTTATAGGGAGAATATAGCTGAGGATATACGTTATTTTTTTTACTTGCTTCGATTTTTTGGTTCCCAAGGAATCTGTTCAGTCGGAAGTAGTTCATCAACCATGATCGTCACGAGATTTGTGGAAATATGGGGTCGCATTTCCCTCCGGATAACTTTCCGACGTTCATTCTTAATGCGAAGATAAAATCGTGAAACAATTCAATGCATCCGAATCAAGAAACTCCGTGCGAGTAGTTGCAAGTTCATCCAAGAGTAGTGTCGCTGGCAATAAGTATTCACTGGCCGGTCCAATTGAATTTAACCAAACCTTCAAGCACGATTAATTGCCTTTTTGGTAAAATTGAGTTCTCTGTGCACGCGTGGGCGTGCGCGGTGCAATTGCACTGGATTTCGTTCAACCGGAGACGGTGAAAAAAAGCTGCTTCTCCAATTCAAATAATGAGACTTCACTCATGGATTATGACAAGGAGAGCACACACTTTAGGTAGAAAACATACATGCGCTATCACATCGGTCTTGATCTCTTACTAGCATGAACACAATTCAGGTAGAAAAGAAGTGGTAGCAGTGTTTATCAATTGTTAGCGACCAGTGAATGTGATTGTAGAGGCCGTTACGATTCAGATTACCAAATAAGGTCTAACTGTGTTGGAGAAATAGTATCCAATGGCGCGGGGAAATCCATTGATTATGCTTGCTGCTCGAACGTGTTCGACGATTTCAGGAATTCATGACAGCAGATGACATGGTAAATGACGATGGAATTGTTCATTGCGAACAGCGGACAGCAATCGAATAATACATTTCTTGTTACTGATGCGACAATAATGCTTCAACCTAGTCTACAGCTGAAATATGGAATCCATGGAGCCCAGAGGTATCAGATTGTGCGCGGTTATGTACGCATCACATTCTACTGAATCGAGTAGTGTGCTTAGTTCTGAGTTCACTTAATTTATACAGTTGACCGTACTACAGTTAAACAGTTCTTTTATTAATTTGCTTTCTAGCTTCTACAAAATTAACAAATCTGCTTTCTACACATAATCCAAGAGGTTTTATGAACTGGATTATTTATGAAGGTAATAGCACTGTCAGTCCTCCGGAAGGACTCTTCCAAGTGAGCAGATCAGAAAAGGGAAACGGTTCTTTTTTGTTTCTATTCACACAATTCACTGGACTTCCAAATATCGCGAATATCGCAGGAGAGAAATAAACGATTTGATTTGTCTATATGGTGAATTTCGACATGTAAAGAGCAAATGAAACCTAAACTGAAGAGCTAGGAAGCACTGGAGTTGATGGGCTCGGATTGTTCAACTGCGCTCGAACAAAAATTGCAAGTTATCTGATTTTGGATGCCAGTCGCTGATATCCGCTAGGGGTCTCTATCCGACATTGTACTCCAGAATTATAGTTCCTCGACCACTATCACAGAACCAAAAGGATTAGGTGTAGTATGTGCATGAACTGCATTCAGTGACGAGATGCGCCTAGAACTCTGTGCAATAGTATATTTTTCAGACTTTATCCCGATAAAATTCTGCTTACGCTAATCGCGTTATCTCGTCTATCACTTGGTGGCATCTGTGTGTGTGTGCACACCATTTAACATGGTGCAATATTCAGATGCGCATGCACACACACGCACACGTCCCGAAGGCATTCATTACGCTGCAAAACTAGACAATTGGGGGTGGTCCGTTCTATTTAGAGCTCTAAGCGGTTTTTGGTTGCTAGGTGCATGCTTTCAAGTCACATTCATACCATGTGTTTATTCGGAAACAAAGCATTGAAAACAAGCAGAACACAAACGTTCTGGTTATTTGAGGTGATATGACTTAATAATATTGAGCAAATGAGTTATAAACGTTACACCAGTGAACCGATGATATTTATTCACAAACGCATATGAATGCACATTTTATTAAACAATAGGCGTTATTCACAGGGAAGACAGTAAACTGTACAAGAAACATATTTGGGGCTAGTGAGGTTCATAGTTAGCGTAAAACCAGCCTGCTCAGTTCTCACCTGGAGACAAGAATGGTGTAGGTGGGATGGACAACCGGACGGAAGATGAACTTGGCACACGTTCGCTGTATCCGGGAAGAGACATTTACTAAAAGACGGTTATTAGCCTGGTCTAATGATTGATAGTGATGTTCGTAACTGGAGAGAACTCGGGCATACTGAGAGCAAAGTAGGACCGACGAAGAAATTTAGCAGCAATGACCGGTCGACGATTGAAAGTTGTATGCGGTCGGGAAAATGTTTCTGAGGTGAATCGTTTCAGTAGTAAAACGTGTGATTGTGTTTCTCAAGAAATGATTCCGTTCACTTTTGGCGAGTGAAAATGGGTTCTATTGCAATCGACTTTTTTAACCTTTAGTAAAAATTGCTTGTGAGACCAATCTATCGAGAAACGCTTCGGAGGTAAAAAAAAATGTATATATCACTTTTCCCTTCTAATACTGCTCCTTTTCTCGAAGCTTGGAAATAGAATACAGGAAAGCTATATCAGGGCATAGCAGAATTTCTCCTTTTTCATATACCGAATGTTTTGTGACATTCCAAGTGAGTCACTATAATTGAACTTCATGCCTGAGTTTGAACTGTGCTTTAATCTGACTGTAACACACTCCTCTCGAAAATGACCCTCATTTGGTCAATTTCCCAAATATTCTTACTTTCTACCACGTCGGATGTAAATAGAAAATATCGATAATCGATAGTAATCCTTATACTTTCCTTTAAAGTGTGATATCACCTTAAAACTACCGATAAACTTATGACAACAATTTCTCAAAATTTCGATCCCAATGATAATTAGGGAGAAATGAGCACCCACCATCGAACTGTTCCACCAATTATCCCTTGTGCTTGAGATATTTCTGAATGAGACATTTTCTTATGTGTATACCAATTCACCGATAACCTTACTGTTAAACAAAATTGTGGGTTTACAGACAGCTGGTCAATTTCAGGCAGCTTTATTTCACAACCAGACAACCCGTTAGTGAAACTGGGGTCACTGAATCTCTCTGCGACCTGATACATTTCTACCTGAAGCCAAACTGTTCCCCAGGTGGACAAAGTGAGTACTGATGGAATTTCCATTTTGCTATGCCCTTGGCGTCTGGTCGTGCACACTTTTGGGGTGGTCCAATAAAACCGAGACAATATTCTCGCATCAGTTGGATAAATTCATGGATGAGAATTACCAAAGAACGTGTGTTTTCTCTGCCTCGTCAGATAGTCCCATCAAACAGACTGGNCACATTTCAAATAGAGCAAGGAGTGGCGAACAAGCTCGTTTTCAGTGATTCGTAGTCATGCCAAATACATCACAATAAATATTACACTGTTAATACATAAATCAGTATTCAATCATAAAAGACGTAAACAAATGTTTCGGGAAAGGGAAAATAACC